GCGCTCCGAGGTGTGGTTAAACTTTACCCGTCTCGATGTGGAGAATACTTGTTACCATAAGTGCAATAAGAGTTTAGCATGTAAGCACGAGCAATTTGTCTAAACATTTAGCAAAAGTGCACCGCATGCAGACGGAGGAATGCACCGGGTTCGACCGTCTTTCTAGCAGCTCTGTAGCCCCATCCACGAGTAAGGTTTCCACGTCAGGTGTTATGTATGCTAGCAGCAACACACGGAGTTAACTACATTATACAAACATGGGTTAATGATTAGAGGTAACTGAGTTATTTAGTTTGTTAACATTTCAGCTATTCTGTTTACAATTCTGTCATCAGATTATTTAATACGATTTGTTAAAGGCTCAGGGCAATCTCGATCAATGTCCCCCCCCCTGTGAGCCAGCCGCGAGCATGGTCGCCGCGTCTTTATTACGTCATCACAACAACACGTTAGGTTACCAACGTAAGCCTGTTCTGACATTCGGTGATATTTTTTCGGTGCTAAAACCCTTTCGGCCGAAAGCCGAAAGGGCCTTTTTAACCATTTTCGGCCGATAATTTTCGGTGGCCGAATATTCGGTGCATCCCTACCTAACACACTTAGCTATTTTATCTACCTCTGGAACAAGCTAAACTAGTTATTATAAATATATGTATTCTTCATTGTCGGGTCACTCATTACTGGATCAGTGAGCTGCATGAGATACTGACAGGCTGTCAGGAGAGGGAGAGAGAGAGGGAGAGAGGAAAAGAGAGCGCTTCTGCTAATTTCTCCCGTGTTATTATCCAAAGTGAATGTAAACTTGAATAATGTACATCATTTGAATGTAATAATTAAGTTGATTGTTGTGTGTGGAAGCTCCAGTGAATGAGCCCCATTAACTGAGTTTTAAACATCACTTTAAATGGAAGATTTAAAGTGATGTTTAAATCTTCCATTTAGGCCCCGCCCACTCGATCGGTATCGGCCGATACTGATTCCAGTGATCGGCCCCGAAATTGGCGATCGGAGCATCCCTACTTTTTGAGTTCCTGCGGATGCCTTTTGGACTCAAGAATGCCGCTCAGACGTTCCAGCGCCTGATGGATTCAGTGCTGCGGGACCTGCCGTTTGTGTTTGTCTACCTCGACGACATACTCGTCGCCAGCGCTTCAGTGCAGGAGCACCTGTCCCACCTCCGAGCCCTTTTCACGCGGCTCAACGAACACGGATTAATCATCAATCCTGCAAAGTGCCAGTTCGGGGTGTCTGACATTGATTTCCTGGGGCACCGCGTCACCAAGGGCGGTGCGGCACCTCTGCCGGCGAAGGTGGAGGCTGTTGCGGCATATCCTCGCCCGCTCACAGCCCGGTCGCTCCGTGAGTTTCTGGGGATGGTGACCTTCTAACACCGTTTCATCGCCCGGGCCGCACACATCATGCGGCCGCTGTATGAAGCATTGAAGGGCAAGACCCCCGTCCAGGCGATCGACTGGACGGCAGAGGCGGACGTCGCTTTTGCTGAGGTCAAGACCGCGTTGGCTCAGGCGGCTTTGCTGGCACACCCATCATCTACGGCTCCCATCTCCATCACCACGGACGCGTCGGACTACGCGGTCGGCGCGGTGCACGAGCAGTGGGTTGGAGGGCGCTTGGCAGCCGCTCGCCTTTTTCAGCCGCCAGCTGACGCCCAGAGAACGTAGGTACAACGCTTTTAACCGTGAGCTCCTGGGTCTTTATTTGGCCGTGCGGCACTTCCGTTTCATGCTGGAAGGCCGGGAGTTTACGGCGTTTGTCGACCACAAGCCACTCACTTTCGCCAAGTGGCGGAGCCTTGGTCGGCACGTCAGCATCGGCAGCTTTCCTACATCTCTGAGTTCACCACAGACATTAAGCACGTGGCTGGCAAGTCGAACCTGGTTGCAGATTGCCTCTCCAGAGTCGTCATCGGAGCCGTCCAGTTGGGCCTGGACTATACTCGCATGGCGGCGGACCAGGTCACAGACCCCGGCGTCCAGGCTCTGAAGGTGGAGGGCGCGGGGCTTCGCTTGGAGGACGTGGTGTTCTGCGACGCGGGCGTTACCCTCCTGTGTGACGTCTCCACAGGCCTGTCGCGGCCAGTCGTTCCCGCCAGCTGGAGGCGCTCTGTGTTCGAGGCAGTGCACAGACTGTCACACCCCGGCGTTAAGCCTTTGGTGCGCTTGGTGGCCGCGAAGTTCGTCTGGCATGGGCTGAAAAAGGACGTGAGGACTTGGGCTGGTGAGTGCGTGGCTTGTCAGCGTGCTAAGGTGCACCGCCACACGAAGGCCCCTTTGGAGCGTTTCCTGGTGCCTGAGAGGAGGTTTGACCACGACCTGGTTGGTCCATTGCCCTCATCTCAGCGCTTTTCCTACCTCCTCACCATGGTGGACAGGACGACCCGTTGGCTGGAGGCGGCCCCGCTCGTTTCGACGTCGGCCGCGGACGTTGCCCGGGCCTTCATTGCAACGTGGGTGTGTCGTTTTGGCACCCTGTCGGACATTTCCTCAGACAGGGGCTCTCAGTTCACGTCCGAATTCTGGAACGCCGTGGCAGGCGGTTTTGGGGGTTAAGCTGCACAGGACTACCGCTTACCACCCTCAGGCTAACGGCCTCTGCGAGCGCTTCCATCGCTCCATGAAGCCGGCCCTCAAAGCCGGCCTTACGGACGGGAATTGGGTCGACAAGCTGCCCTGGGTGATGCTGGGCCTGAGGACTGCGCCTAAAGAAGACCTGCAGTGCTCTACGGCTGAGATGGTCTACGGGTAGCCGTTGAGAGTTCCAGGGGATTTCCTCCCTAACGCATCGGCTCCCTGGTCGGCGTCGGCCCAGCGGGCTTTCCTGCAGGACGCCGCTGAGGCCTTTGCTCCGATCCCTACTACTCAGCACGGTACTCAGGTGTCCCAGGTTCCCGCAGAGCTCCGCTCGGCGGAGCACGTGTTCATCCGGCACGATGCGCACAGAGTCCCCCTGCAGGCCCCTTATGATGGGCCTTTCCGGGTCTTGGAGCACGGGGACAAGCACCTGGTGGTCGACCTGGGTGGCAAGGCCGAGCACGTCTCGGTGGACCGGGTGAAGGCTGCTCACCTGGACTTGGACCAGCCGGTGGTGCTGGCTCGACCTCCGCGACGGGGCCGCCCTCCGGCCTCGTCCCCTGTCACAAATTTAAGACCTGTTGTTCCGGTCCCTCCCCTTCCGGGGGCCGCACAGGCGGAAGTCACTTTTCCGACTCCCGTGCTCAGGAGTCGTGGGGGTCTGTGTGTCGTTCCTCCCCGCCATGCTGATTTTGTTTATGTGTGAATTCTGGGGGGGCTTGTGTGGTGACACCATGTGGGACCATAATTCACCTTGCTTATTGTGTTGCCACACGGACCCTTTAGTGGGAACACCTGTAGCTTTAGCTGCCATTCCTGCTAGCTCGTCAGGCAGAGCAGTTCATGTGTTAACCTCTCTGATATTAATGGATAATAAAGATTGGAACTCCATTCTTAATACACCGCCTCCGACTCTCTTTTCACGGCACTACAATATATAGATTACTTTTACTTATTGTTAATTGTTATTCCTCTAAATCACGGGTTGGCAACAGGCGGACCGCGGTCTGGATCCGGACGCCGACCTATACGGACCCGGACCTATAATCAATACCTTAATAGGGGATTTCGATTTTGACGGGGCGATTCTATTTTAACCGCCGCCGACAGGGGGCGAAAGAGACGAGTGAGCGATACAGGGAGAGAAACACAGAAGAAGAGACGAGAGAGAGATACAGGGAGAGAAACACAGAAGAAGAGACGAGAGAGAGATACAGAGAGAGAAACACAGAAGAAGGGAGGAGAGAGAGATACAGGGAGAGAAACACACAAGAATAGATGACAGCGCGGCAGAGAGAAGAGGGAAAGAGGGAAGAATAAGAGGGAAAGAAAGAGAAACTTTAAAACTGTTCAATTGTTATTATGTGTAAAGTCTGATATTGTTCTATAATCGTCTGAAACTGTTAAGTCATGATGTGAAACGGTTAACAAAGAAAAAGGGAAACTCAAGCTGCTGCTGCACTTTATTTTATTTATCTAAAATTAAGCACTTTTAAGATGCACATATTTTCAAAAGCTATTTTATTTATTTTCTCTATTTTATTTTTAAATGCAGCCCGAGAGGAACATTACACATATCCACAGTATTTACTGTATATCTGTATAGTTCAATGTTAATTGACAATAAATATTGTTGTTTATGAATTGTACTTTCTTTATTTTATTGGCAGTCAGTTGTTGATTACATGCAGACGTTGATAAAGCTGCAGGCTACTTCAATATATATCACACTAATTCATAAAGCAAGTTAGACATTTTGATGTTCCGGACCTTTGCATGGGGAGATTTTCTCTAACTGGACCTCGTTGAATTTTAGTTGAATACCCCTGCTCTAAATTGTTATTTCCTCAAACGCCTTATGTATTATCCTTCTTGCACTTAAAAGGTAAATACTAATTCATTTGTTAATCCATATACATACTTACATTGTATTATATTTGATCTTGAATATTAATAACGGTTAATATTACTTATGATTGTAAAACAAATAGTAAGTATCGTGAGTATCGTGAAAATAATTTCTCTCAGTTTTGTCCCCCCCATTTCAAAAATCTCACCTGCGGCCCTGGCTAATACCTATGCTATATACATTGGCTTATTAGTTAGTTTGTAAGTACAGCCTACTGTAGGTTGATGGGGTTGTAATTTGTGTTGTTTTGGTCAACAAAATGTTGGACGATCGACCTGATGGTAGCACTTGTTTAAAGAGAAAGGATGTTTTGGGGAATATGAACCTCTGTACTATTTTTCTTGGTAATCCATCCAAAAGTTGTCGAAACATGTCACTAAAATCACTAATCCACCTGCTGGTGGGGCCAGAGTGAAAGATGATCAACAAAGTAATCCTCTAATTAGATTAGGAGCTAAAAAAAGACAAAAGTGGCTAAGCCTCTGGCAGAGAGAACATACGCTGCTTGAGTTTGAAGAAAGTGAGCTGTTGTCTTGGTCGAGCTTCAGAGCAGAGGGAGGATCTTTGGAGCCCAGCTTTTCCAGTTTCTCCTTCAAAAGAAGCCTCTGAACCTCCAGTTTGGCTTTAAAGCCCTGATTCAGAGCAACATGCTGCCGGCACTCCTCCATCGCTTGCCTCTTGCTGAACTGGTAGACCCTGGATGACGCAGAGAGCAGCATTAGGTCAGGTGAATTATATGTGTGGGACATTTTCAGTGGGAGCAACACCAAGGGTTGCACTAGTCAATAAAACAACACGAGTAATGCAACACAACATCAATATGCTTCATATTGACTAAGGCAATCAATAAGAAGGCTTCCCTGGCGATGGCTTAGTCAGCAATTGTCCGGATTTTCAGCATGCAAGACCAGTAAACCTTTCAATGACCCAGGAGTCCTGTTAGTGAGGGGAAACGAGAGGGGAGAATAAACCTGATAGCTGCAGTAACAAATATAAAGCTTTCACCAAACAGGAATGGCCAGTTCACGGCTGGATTAACCTATTAGAAGACATCAGGGGGATCATTTGCTGTTGGACCCCCAGTGCCCACCCAAACGTTTTCTGTGCATTATGCATACACAATGTGGCCTCCATTTTTCCATAACAAAAAGAGCACAGCACACACTATACTTATCTGCCACACCATCTAGTACTGTGCTGCAGAAATACTAAGGTGTTCAGTAAGTCAGTAGAGGGTAGAGATAACACTGTTTATTAATCGACAGGAAATGATCAACTATTTGGATTGTTGCCTTTTTTCATACACAACTGCAAAAGCTTTTCATATGTGAAGATTTAATGTTTTTGCTTTATATTTATACTAAACTCACATTAAAAGTAATTATTAATAAAGCTTTCACTGTTTTCTGATATTTTTCTAACATATTGCTTGTATGATCTCAGAGTAAGCAATTATTCCGACCCCAGCTATAGATTTGAGCTTGTTAAATAGTTTTTACCAAAACATTTAAATTACATTCTTATTTTTGTATTCTGCAAGACTGGATGTGAAAAACTGTAATGAAATTGTGACACTATGCCATTCCCATGATTTCACTTCTTTATTTTATTTTAAATGGGACCATAATTTAGGAAATGGACAATATGCTGCTTTAAAGAAGACATCAAACTATAGCGACTGAGAAGACAAGCTTGTCAGGAGATGAGGTGAGAAATAAGGTAATTTCCTTGTAGACATCTATAAAGTAGGACTTTTTTGCAAACCCTTGCTGGTGATTAAAGAACATGCACATAAAAGGCACTTTTTTATTTTGCTTCACTTTTCAGACTGTAGACCTTCCCTAAGTTCACGGGTTCTCAGCTACAAGACGTCCCTCTTTAACATCATATAGCATGTCTCTGTACATTGACAAAATGTTTTTTCAAAATACAAATCAAAGAGCAGCATAACCTTCACCTCTCTCACTAACACCACCACCATATGTGCTCCCAGCTTTTTGCAAACAAACACATTGTATCCAGCCGACCTCCAGGAGCTTGGTAATGACTCCATCACTCCCACAGGACTGTAAACCTCCAACACCTCCAGACAGCTTCTTCAACCAAGACAAATTGAGCTCCATAACTCACCATATCACTGTATAATAATTCATAAGGCACTTTCAGCCCCCTGAGACCACGCTGGTTATTAGCTCTGAACTCTCTCCGTGGGGGGGAGGCAAGCCTCAGTTATTTATCTTCACGGTTATAACAACAGTTTTGTGTTTATAGTGATTACAAAATCATCGCAACATTTGGGCATACTTGTGGTTATGCTTGGGTCTGTGGTCCACTCACCTCTGGCCTTTTTTCACACCTTCCCGCTCTGCGTCCAGCTCCAGCTCTAGCTGATCCACCGAGGTCTGCTGCGAGCCCAGAGTCTGAGCCAAGTTCAGCAACTCCTCTTCTACCGCAGTCAGTCTACGAGATGGAGAATAAATTGTGAAGGGAGGAATAAATTAATGCAAAACCATAAGAGGAAATTGGAGGTAAAAATGAACATGAAGGGGGAGGAGGAGGTAGTGGTTGAGACACTTAAAAAGGAAATTAGAGTTCAGTCATCTGGATGGAATTGTGTCGTTTGTTCTCACTTGTGCTGAACTGTCTCAAGCGTGAGGTCGTTTAGTTCAATCTCGCTGGATTGTAGCTGCTCAGTGTCCTCCAGGAGACTACAGTCAAACTCTGCACACGCAGGAGTCTCCCCTACAGATCTATACAAACACAAACACATAGAATCATCACTCTGCATGGCTGGCTTTCACGACCGCAGTGTTGCCATCTGAGGGGAAATTTGGCCCCATTCTACCTGTTCTGTTGGATGAAGCTCTCGTATTCTCTGTGAGGATCGATGGCTGTAAGAGCAGAAGACATCTCCCGGTGGATCTGCACCACTTCATGATGGAGGAGAGAGGAGATGTCGAAATATTCCTGCAGGATCTCCTTTCTGGTTCAGGGGTCAGGGAGGCCACATGAAAACAGAATCCTTCAAATTCAGTGGTTTTGAGGACAGGTTTTAGACAAATTGATTGAAAGACTACATTACATTTCTGCATTTCACAGATGTACAATATCAAACTTTTCCAGGTTGTTTATTTGCGGGCTGATTCACATCAGTGCCAAGATAATCTGCTTTCAGAGACTTGTCTGAGATAAGCAGTCCATCACAGTAAGTATTTAGATGTTTGAATACTTGTCATATTTGAGTCCTTTTAAGCGGTGTCTGTTTTGCAGACTCTCACAAGCGGAGACATCTGCGGTCTGACAGCTGACTGTCAAACATTTAATGCATGAATAAAAACTCAGATTTTCATTTTTATTTTCATATAAAAGTAGTGTTTTAACGATTTGAGATGTTCTATTTATATCCAGGGTTTCTGAATGAACAAACAAGGAAAATCTGTCAAAACCGTCTCAAATGCAACACTAAACAACATTAACATAATGCTTGAGGAGGAAATACAACTGTTAATTTAATATGGGAAAACATGTACATGTACTGTAGTTAATTAAAAAGGTGCTTTTGAAGTCAGCATTCCTTTCGTTTTTATGTGTGGGAGGCGTGTGGTGCAGTGGGTTGTGCATTGGTGTTCGGATCAGGGGGTCACAGGTTCAAACCCCACTGCAGTCAGCATGTCGTTGTGTCCCTGAGACACTTCACCCCAAATTGCTCCTGTGGGGATTGCACACAGTGTGTAAGTCGCTTTGGATAAAAGTGTCTAACAAGTGACATGTAATGTAATGTGTGTGTTTGTGGATGGAAATAAGCCAACTTATTGCCAACAGTAACCACTAATGTCATTCACACGCAGTCACTCTGTGGTTTGTGTGATCTTACAGTATGAGCACCATCTCCTGCTGCAGACTCTGCAGCGCAGCGAGCAGGGTCGGCTGGATCTGACTGTAGTGGTGCTGATGGTAAACCTGAGCAGCTCGCACAGACAGCACATAGTCATTGTGCAGCTCGTGGAGTTTCACAGAAGCCTTGACGTAACGCTCTTTAGCCTTGTCTCGCTCTTTATCTGCACGGGGAGAAGACATTATGTATGTCATGTTTGGAAATGGGAATACACGATATATTAAAATAACACATGGCCATCAGTGTGAAACCGATTCTGTTGAAATAACTAAGTTACTGTATGTCAGGATTCCCCACCTTTACTGGCCTCCTGGTACTTCCTCTTAGCCTGAGCTGCATCTTTCACCGCCTGCCTGTAGCTGCCCTTCAGCCTCTCCAGCTCTGTCTGAGTCACCTGAAGCAGCACACAGACAAACACACAGAAAATCACTCGGTGCAAGGTAAGGCGTTATTCAGAGGAGCCAGGGCCGGTTCTAGCCAATTTGCTGCCCTATGCAAGATTTTAGCTGGCGAAAATATAAAGATCAATAGATATCCAATAGAATATTAAGAATAAATGAAAAATCTCTACAAAAGACCAATACACTACAAAAACAGAAACGTATTGACATAGGTAATATACATAAAAAAGGCTTCAAATGTATGAACATGTTTTAATTGGAGGGTGGACATCACATCCTCTAGGAGGGACAGGGGTATGCCCCCCCGGAAGATTTTTATTTTTAAATGTTAAAGTAAAATGCTTCAATCTGGTGCACTTTGAGAAGAATTACTAGAGACTAGATCTAGAGGGTACAACTTTATGAAAAATAATGGTTTACATTTTAATAATCAAATAAGTAGGCTATGTGAACATAACCAATAACCCATAGCCAATAACGAATAAATGTAGGCCTAACGTATTTTATTTTTGTTGTTCATTTATATCTTATTTGACCTTAACATTTATGTATGCATTTTGTTTAAATCTCTCCAGTTTTAAACAATATTTTTGGTTTACTGTGTCCTATAGTATACATTGGAATGATTTCAAACCTGTTTTTATTTATCCTAATAATTATAAAGGTGTGCCTTGGAAATATGTGTTTACATTAATTGTGATCAAAACGTTTGAGAGCCACTGAGATAACTTAGACTAAAGTTAACTATCTAAACACTCAGAGTCCTTTACCTCACAGAGACTCCTAGTCTGACAGGAGAGGACTCTCCCTCCACCTTTGTTGTAGAAACATTTTCGCGCAGCTAGCACCAGATGCTAACAATAAGTTCATATCAATCACCGGTGTGGTGCGCCTTCTCTCTCTCCCTCGCTCGCTCGCTCGGACTCTCGCTCGCACTTCGGCTGTGAGCTGTGGGCGCCTGATAAGCCAACAACATCCCACACTTTCATCTCTTACAGCGCCCATCATACAGGGCAAATGAAACGTGTAACCGTTACCGGAGTGAAAAGGGTGTTACCTTTTCTTAATTATGAATGTTGTTACATCAAGGCCGAAAATTAGGATGAGCGCAAACAGTCAAACATGGTTTTGTCCTCTCCCAGAGCTACCAGCGCAGCGCCCCCAGATCTGGTGCCCTATAGGCAACCGCCAATGTCACCTATGCCAAAAACCGGCCCTGAGAGGAGCTACAGTATGTGTGGTTAAGAGCTGCCTCTAGGTGTGAGCTCTGCTTGACACAGGAAGTGATCAGTGGCCCTGTTGTTTCACTGCAGAGGAGCACAAACATGAGAAAAGACAAGAGGAAGTGATCTGACATTTATTGTGCCAATACTTCAAGACTCCACCTGATAGCATCTGTGACATTGTTGTTCACTATTGTACCACACAGTGAATCACATGAATCCAAGTTCCAATAATAATCAAAGACTGAACAATAAAGTAAGAAAATTCAAATGAACAAACGGCCGAACCACCAGTACAGATCACTGAACATGAACACATCATTTCCCTGATGTAATTGGGTAATAAAAACAATGTGAAGCAGCCACCAGTTTGAGATTGCATCAAACTGCATATGCACAAACTGTTTCCAGTCTATTGTACCTCAGTTCATTTGACTGCTGTCTATTTATAATGCTGCTGCCGCAATGGCCATCTGCAAATCAAGATTATTTACTGGAGGAGAATCAACAACTAGATTTTAAAGCAACAACTTCTGCTTTCTCTCTAATGAGAATCATGCCACATACAAAAAACACTTTACCACAAACTGTTGCACACTCATTTAGTATGACTTAATTTTAAACAAAAATACCAGAGCATCCAGAAGGAGAACACGGTAGTGAGAATGATGAAGTTGGCTAATCCCTAAACACAAGCTCTTCTGCTCAACAGCAATGAATGGTTCATTTTAAATATAATATCACTTAAAATGCAAAGTAAATGTCATTTTTGTTTGGATATAACTTTAAGTAGTATCAGTTCATGGACCACATTGAAATAGCAGTGGTGTAAAGTAACTGAGTCCATTTACTCAAGTACTGTACACTTTTTAGATACTTGTACTCCACTTAAGTATTTCCATTTCATGCTACTTTGTACTTCTACTCCACTACAATTTAGAGTTCAATCGTTTACTTTTACTCCTCTACATTTATTTAATACCTTTAGTTACTTTACAGATTTTGATTAATAATGTGAAATATAATCAACAGTTAAATAAGACTTTGGTTACACCAGGAGCAAATCACAAGCTACCCTGCAGTATACAAAGTCATTAAAAATAGCTGCACCTTTACCAGCTTTGATAAACACGTTAATGCATCAATCATTATAAACAGAACATATTATATAACATAAATTATTCTGAAATGGGCCAATCTGCATAATGAGTACTTTTACTTTTGGTACTTTAAGTATTTTTTTATGCTAATACTTTTGTACTTTTACTTGAGTAACATTTTGAATGCATGACTTTGACTTGAAAGAGAGTATTTCTACACGCTACTTTTACTCAAATACAAGATCTGAGTACTTTTTCCCCCTCTGGAAAATAGACACTCAAATGCACAACCACAATCATCCATAAAGAATATTTTCACACTTTCAGATTTGTATGTGTGTTATTTGTCGGTGCTAAGTTTTTAGAAGTAACATGGGTAAAAGTTGTATACCATAAGGGTAAACGAGTCAGAATCAGTGGTTTCATCACAGTAAAAGGACTGTCTGTCTAAAGATTGCAACCCTGACTTTTGTCATGATCGCAGGAGATTGAAAGTAGAAGTGTATTTGAGTGTGTGTGTGTGTGTGTGTGTGTGTCACACCTTGCCGAGCTCCTGCCTCAGGAGGTTCCACTGCTCTGCGTAGGTTTTGCGGAGCTGCTGTTTATCTCTGATGACCAGCGTGAGTTTACTGATGGGACCGTCGAGCAGATCCTCAGAGCGCTTCTTCATCACCTGACTGAGGACGTCCGTCTGAGACACCAGCACCCCCCACGACTGAGGGGCAGGGGGCAAAGGTCAGGGAGAAAAACAGGTAATTCAAACAAGAGGACAAAAGAACATGCTTTAACCTCTGTTTGGATTTCTTTCTTAGTGAGTAATTCATCTAAAAATACTCATTACATTTAAAGGTCCCATGTCATGCTTTTCCGGTTAGTACCCGTCCCCTTGTGTGTTATGAAGGTTTTTATGCATGTAAACGGTCTGCAGAGTCACAAACCCTCAACGTACACCCTGTAGCGAGTACAACTTTAACACAGAAAAGACCTGTCTATGCTGCCCCAGAACGCCTCGTTGGAGATTTCTCTTTTTCTTCCTGGGTACAGTGATGTGCCCATACCCAAATGGACCAATCCGTGGAGACGTTACGTTACGTTCGCGGAGCCGTTAGGTTAAGTCCGTTGATTGGTCCAAAATGGATCAATCCGCGGACTTCCTCACACACTCAATATTTTCTCAGCTGCAGCTCCTGCCGATTTTTCCTCCCTGAGACGGCGGGGCGCGGCGAGGCTGTGAGTCGGTGTGTGAGCACACAAACTCCCAGCCAGGCTGCAGGTGTGTGTGCTCGGGCTGGTTTCGGGCTGGGTTTAGCTGTGTCTCGCAGACGGCCTCTGGGCTCATAGGGAGGGGGGGAGCCGTTTAGGACAGAGAGTGAATACACATACTATACAGAGATGCTGTATGAGAAACCAATGTGATTTTGGAAAATTGCACAATATAAATCCATTTTAGTAGACCTCAACAATGAATTTATGATCAGTAGAAATGGCCATGACATGGGACCTTTAAATAAAATGTGATGAAACAAATGTGTGGTTCTTGTCATGCATCGAGCCACCAAATGTTTTAATATGTTTTTCACCAATATGTTTTTCGAACTGCAGAAATATAATCTTTTATTTTTATTTTGTTGATCCAACAATATATTGCATGCTCATTCTGCTCCATTCAGATAATTATGTTCTTAAAATATATATTTTTTACCATTCCTCTAACTATTTCTTCCAATCTTTGTAATCTTCGGTGGATATTGTGGGTTCTTAAAAGAACATGTTTTCTTTTGGTTTCCTTCATGGCATAATACTTCCTGTGCATGGTTGCAATTATAGGCATGATTTATTTGACATACTTCGCAACAATTCAAGTATAGGTGTTGGTCAAGTGTGTAGAACAATCTCCAAAAATGTTGCAAGAACAACAACTTTAGTATTTCACCTACAGCTCTAACTACAGCAACAAGACCAACGTTACTGTTTGTAACAGACATCCCTGTCCATCCAGACATTTGTGTTGAAAGCAAACACATTCTGATTGTGATTTTCCAAATGATGATGGACTGAAACATCTGACTCATATGACTCATATGAGTTCATATGAGTCAGATGTTTCAGTCCATCATCACTTTTTGTTGCACAAATAATTGAATATAATAACATATATTTTTAAGGATGGAGGAAAACCCTTTTTTCAATGGCCTTCCAAAATAAATTGTTCATATTGGTGTGAGGATTTTTAACCTGACCTTAATTTTGAATATTAAATGAAGTAACTGAGTCACACACCTTGTGTATTATAATTGGTTTTGCATGAATTAAAGGCCACAGATGGATCCCTCACCTTGTTGAGCTGGCTGATGTAGTCCTGTCCCGCTCCGGGCTGAGGCCTCTCCAGTTTCTCTCCCATGGCGGCCATGTGGTGCAGCTGCACTGAAAACTCCCGCTCACTCTTGGCCCGCTGACCCATCCACTTCTTCATGACCTCCATCAGGTGAAGCTCTGAGTCCAGCAGCCGCATTACAGCTGCATGTGCCTGGGGGCAGCGCAGATCCTCCCCAAAGCCCATCTCTGGATGTTTAAACTCTCCTCCCTGCTGAGTGTCTGTCCTACAGCAGCTCTGTGTTTGCTGCGGGACAGAAACAGAGAGTGGAGCTGGAGCTGCGGCTATAATGACCTAGAGAAGTTATTTCTCTGTGACTTAAGACCGCTTTCACTTCCCCACAACGAGTACACTGTTCATGAGAGGCAGCACTTCCTCATGTATGTTTGAATGTGGTTATTGTTGCAATGTTGTAATCTTCCTTTACATTTACTGGCGCAATAACTTTCCATTGTTGCACATGTCAAATATCCACATACATTTAGAAACAGAAAGACATTAGCTTAAACACGACACACTGTGGTCACTTGTGTTCATCGCTCCACCGTGTGTGTTAGAAACAGCATTTTGTGTTACTATATTCTAAATGTTTACGTCACTGTATTTCAGAGGCAATTATTGCAGCTTTTATGTCTCTACTTTAATTTAACAGCAATATATTTACTTTGTTGTATGTACTTTAGCTTCAGGCATTAACAATGTTAAGTATAGGCTTTAACTTCAAACCGCGATAATAAAGTACAACAATATAAAATTATAACACTCACAGGAGCAATTTCAATTAAATACTTTAAGTACATCGTGACTGCAAAGCTTTGAATGCAAAACTTTACATTTTTGAAGTTACTTATATGTTCCCTGTTGGTCTTGATGCCTCTTAGTCTATGATTTGTATTGCATTGTTTGCATAGATTGCATTAAAATGTGCCTTTGTGGCGTATTTGGGTCAGTGGTGGAGTTAGGGCTGTCTAAGGGTGGTATTTCATTGCAACTAAGGTAAATTATCTGAATATATATTTCTTTTTAACAATCAAGGGGCTTTTATTGTCTTGATGTTATACGTTTCTATATGATCAGCTGATAGCAGGTTGTGTGTCCTTGAGTCAGATGAGGGCAGGCAGCTCTATGCTACTGTACAGAAATTAAGACAGAATCATTTGACTATACTTCCCAGTGCTACTTAACTTTGAGCGATGACCAGCGCAGTGAAACTGATAATGTGTGTTGCATAAAATAAATACAAACTTTGAATTTTCTTTTTAACCACAGCGTGAATGCAGTCTCCCTTCATTACTCGTAGTTATGACTTGTTTAGTGTTGAATGCAGTCTCTCTGCTGTAAATGTATTGGCTTAATTACACCAGCCACACATCATCAAATACACTCATTACACAGAACAGAGAAGGGACAGCAATGTGCTGAACAATGCAGCTCATTTCTCACACTGGTTTTACAAACCGCAGAGGAAATGTCTGCTTTTATCTTGAGATGCAGCGTGTACAAAGGTTTCAGGTTACGACAACCACACAGAGCAGAACATCCTGTGGACACTGTCGAGAGGACGTTTTACAGTAGTTCACTAAGTGTATGTTAATCATGCTCAACAAAGAAACTGTTCTTATATTTAAACTGTGGAAATGGTAATGAACTCTCGGAAGTAATTTACTTAGGGAAGTGAAATACATTTTTTTTTAAAGCTGGGCATAGAGTTAGCAACACTGTACAATGGACTGAATCATCGGACTATTTAAGCTACCACAGGATGTTATTAACACTGATGCATGAGTAGTATTATTAAAATAATGTAATATATAGAACCTTTACTTGTAATTATTTATGCATATTTTACTGACAATACCTTTTGAATTCATTATTTGACTTGTTACAGTATTTGTTCTGGTACTTGTTCTTAAAAAGGGGTCTCACTGGTTTTTATACACAGACCTAAATCAAGTCATATCTACTTGGAGAGCATTTAAGTTAATAAAAACACATTGAAATTTGCATAGATCTTTATTTTTTTTTAGTAGAATCTATAATTGACATCAATTAAATAAAAAGAAGAAAAACAAGAGCGAAAAAATCTTTAAATTACAAGAAAATTACACTGCACCGTTCATATAGTACAAAAATAGGCCTTATTTTAGAGTTATGTCCCATGTAAGATAGTCATTCTTGTACATTATTCATAGGTCACATATCTGTAAGGTACTGTGTGCAGCCACAGGCCGGGATCCTCTGGAGAGGCGGGGGTCAACAGCTCCTCCCCCATCACAAAGTGTTTCATTTATACTTAATCAAGCATGTGTACACACAGACATACGCAGATCTGATTGAGCCCTTAAGTTAATGGAGATGGGATACATTCTGCCTCCTCCCTCCACAGCTGCTGAACAAAGTGTCACAGCACATCTTCAGAAAATAAAAATAGAGGTGACAGATCAACAAAAACACTTTGAACACGGGTGAAGGGGCTCGATGGACTGTGACAACCTGAAAGCAACACGTCGTAACACTAAACAGACAGCATAAAAATGATTGTCTTTGGTTATGCCAAAGATATTGCTCCTATTAACTCCGTCAGACTTCATATTGATCACTTCAGACTACATCCTAAGGCAGGACTGAAGCAACATCTGCTGAAAATAATGCATAAAGAGAAGAAAAAAAAACATCTTCCTTTATAGCCAGAGGAGACAATTTGTGACGAGCAGATTTCTGTAACATTCATGTTACTTTATACATCAAAAGGCTTCACACTGCCGGTGAAGTGGCAGCCTTTTAATGATGAGCTGCTTTCCGGCACAATTAGAGACCTTTTTATTTTCTTAGTGTGCTGTTTCCATCTCGTTTTAGCAGTAAAATTAGTGAGCTGGCTTCTAATGGTGTGCTTTGGAAGCACTAGCTACTTAATGCTGCCCGCATTCATGATTTCCCTCCAAGATGAACACTTGAATGCACAAGGCTTCGAGTTCATCAGTTTAAAGTTTTCAGAGTTTTCAAGCTGTAGTGGATACAACATCAAGAAAAGATGAATAAATCATTTTGTGTGTGCATTCGAGGGGACAAGAGAACTGCCTGAACACCCTCCCAAATGTTGCACTCTTGGAAACACGTTATTCTTCCTTGAAGCAATAGAAATAATTTGTAAGGGGAGATGCATAACGTTGATAGCCTGAGCATCAATACTAATTGCATTGGTCAGAGTCCCACATTATACTCCTAAAGGAGCGCCCTCTTAGCATCTAGACTTTAAGAAAAATATTTTATGGAAGCAATTTTGGTGCCAAATGAGCCCATTAACTGTTGTTTACAAACTTCACACCAAGCTGGGAAGTCAATAAGATTTTGTTGCAGGAGTCTGAGGCTGTATTTATTCCATTTTTTAAATTAGCACCACCTCAAACTGGGGCTAATCGAATCCTAAATGGCAGTAGGCACTAATGTACATCTCAGAGCTATGCAGCACACACTCATTATTCTGCAGCCACACCAGCTTTGTTCTTTTCAACGGCACTTTCTTTGAATCTACGTTCTCAGACGGGTTTCCAATCCCGTTTAGTGCTTCCTGGCTGAAACTGCAGCGTTAAGCAGTCCACCTGCACGGCCATCAGATGAATCAAGCTTCCTGGCTCAGCGCTGTGTTTGAGATACAAACCAATCCTTCTCCATGCTTTGAAACAGGATGTGGGAAGGTATTGGTTTACAACTCTTTATTCTCTAACGTTTTTCTTTCTTTCCCTCTCTGAACACACTTTTACAATTTACATTTACAATTTACATTCAGCTCTGAATATCGTTATTATGAATAATTCCTTCTGAAAAAAGATTTTCCAACTAAAGTGGTTAAATTCAATCGATTAGTTTTGTGTGCTGGCGCACTTCCTCGCCCTGGAAACAAGGGAATTATTTGATTGTCAGTGACAGGAAAAAAATGCAGTTGAAACTTAGTATGAGAGATGTGGAAAACAAACGCCCCTAACAATTTGAAAAATGATGTAGCACTTAAACGCTGGCCAACAAGATCTATGGACAACCTTTCCACCTCGTTCTAGATCCAATAACAGCTTTTACAGCCCAAGTGTGACAGGCAATGCATTTCTCAAACATTTACACAGCAGTGTTACAATTTCTGAATCGCAATTGTTTCCTTTTCTTCAAATACATACATTTTACTTGGGTGCCTAAATCTCCTAAATCTTTCCTGACAAGCATTTTCAAAACTGACCTACATATAATTCGACCTCTATAATCATTTAACAGCTCCTCTAACAGCGTACGAGACCTCGCTGTATGATATGAGAGGTAGATAAAAGAAAAGGAAAGAGGATGAGCAGCTGCAGTTCTGAATGCATGTCATCACCATGACAACCTCTCTCGTTTTCTGCGCTGGAAATGAAAAGAATAATCATAATTTCAACATGGTAGAAAGAGCGGGCTGTGTATTCAAAATGGCTAAATTATGAGATGCACATTTGAGATGATAACCAGCCCGGGAGAATAGGAATTACCTTAAAACAATTTCCCCTAAAGGTATGATTAAAAACCCCTCCGAATAAATAGTTGCTGCAGTGTCATTCAGAATATAATTAATTGGCAAGTACGCTGAAGAGATAATCTGAATTTCAGATTAGATGAAGACTGGAGGGTAAGTGCAGAGACGCTGATGAGATGTGGAGTCTCCACGCACGATTTCTGAACAGCATTCAAGATATGAAGAAGAAAGCGGAGACTAAAGCAAAGGAGAAACGGAAACCTTCACTTTAGAGCACAGATAAACATATTCTCAACACACACTGATATAGTTTCATTCATTATGATATGAGGTGTGTCTAATGTACGATTGTAGTGCTAATGTGCTCTGCAGAAAGGAATAAGCCTTTGTGTTTTGTTGAGTCTTCTGTCACAAATCAATCCGAAGTAACTCAACCGCTGCCTTTGAGAAGCTCTTGTGCTCAGCAGCACTCTGTTCTTGCTTCTCTCTCCGCCCCGGGATGTGAGCACTTCAAACACAGAAATCAAATATCCCTGGAAGCCATTGTGCCTCCGGGCTGATCGAGTAGCCTGTGTGGTTTATTTTCTGCCTTTTAATTCATCTTACTGTTGGTTCCCTTCCAGATGGTGGTTGTAGAGGTGAAGAGCAAAAGGAGAATTGATGTTTTTTAAACCGGGAGAAATTGAGCCCATCTTGAATCCCTGAAGGCTGAACGACGCTTTGCTAGTGGTGTGAGTCACAGTTTGTTCCGCCAGAGAGATATTTCCAGACTTTGTGTTCAATAGGAGAATTAAAGCCTCCCTTGCTACAATAGTATAACTTATTACATTTAAAAAAAGTGTGCAAGATGGATTTTGTTTAAAGTAAAT